GCCTTTTGGCCGTACGTTCACTTTTAGTATGGTTTCCATGCAATCCTTTATAAATGAGACCCCAGGGCCTTTTTTCTCTTTTTTACTGATACATCATGAACTCTGACCTTAACTGAGGCAGGATGTTAGATGTTGTTCCAGCTTCTTTTGGGGCCTTCAAGATGAGGTCCAAATAGCATCTCAAGGTCTTTTTGGTTGGCTGGCCACTCCTTCCCAACTAAATTGACTCTAAACTGGATTTTGTACTCACTCAGATTATCTTCGTCTGATATTAACATTTGTTTCATGGCCCGAAACAATTAAGTGCGACAAAAAAAGGGGCAAAAACTAAAACAAATCTGTCAGGGAGCGAATATTCTTTCAAAGTCCAGTACTTGGCTCATTCACCTGAACAAAGAACTGTACACTCACTGTCTGCTTCCTTGTATCCAATTTGAGCTCCAACATTGGCAACATTGGCACTGCGTAAAGCCTCCACCTCCATTCGCAGATGTTCATTTTCAACCAGAGCTACCTGTTTGCTGGTGCGCTGCTCTTCCATTTCAGCTTCCAGGAGATTCACCTGAGCCCTTAACTCAGATACACACCTCTGAGCCTGAGAAAAATCAAATAAATATTTAATTTATACTGAAAAGTATTTGAATAAGCAACAATTTGAACTTCAAACAAGCCATCTTAATTTTTCTGAATAACAAACTGGAAAATGCAAGATCAGAAACCTTTTCTCTTTGTATTTGTGACTGGCCATGGGAAAACCAGCAACAAGTCTCCCTGGGGGTGTTTTGAGTTATTAACATAATCTGAAAGAGTAGGTTCTAAGCTATTCAATGATGTTAAACACATGGCAATCAGAAAAAAAAATGAAGAAGATATGGATATTTGAATGTTGTTAATCTGCAAACAAGATAAGGGAGAAAACAGGCCTCAAAGTTTCAGAGGAATTGTCCCCACCAGAGGGCGCTTCCTGGGGGAGTTAACAATGGCTTTTCATTTACATTAATTTGCATTAACACCACCCCTGAGCACTGATTGTCAACACAGGCAGGCTCTAAAAAAGTGTGCAGACAAAAGCTCAAAAGACAGAAGCTTGATTTTTGTAACACCATGAGCATTATTATTATTATTTAAAAGGTGCACACAATTTTAATTCAAGTCTATTTCACACCATCATTCATATATATGATTAAAATAACAAGTGTCACACCACCTGCTAAAATATAAATGGGTGGTGGGGGCACTGATTAGTGGGCCTGATGGATTGAGCTTCATCAGAGCTAAACAACAAAAGAAATCTGAAGCTCCTATGTTGAGCCGTTTCTGAGTTATAAGCATTTTTGCATGTCCAGACACCCCTTTTTCAGATAAATTGGGGGCCCGTGGGGTGGGGAGGGCATTGGTTAACCTGATGGCTAGAGCTTCGTCAGAGCTAAACAACCAAAAAATCTGTAGCTCCTATGTTTAATAGATTTAAGCAATAAACATTTTTGTGTAGGTGGAACACTACAATCTACAGTCCTGCCAAATTTCATGTTGATTGGTGGAGCCATTTTTGTGCTACGGTTGACCAAAAATCACTGAAGAAAAAAAAAAAAAAAACAATACGAAAACAATATGACTCCCACTTACACTTTGCGTGCGGGGGTCATAATAAGAGCAACATCAGTCTGTAGTGTGTTTTATTTTCTTTTATTTTTTGAGACATTTAGAAATAGGGAGAACTAAATGTTTGGTTTTAATGATACATTGTGGTTTCAATATAAAACCTAAAGCAATTTTGATTGCTGAAATTAATGTGAACCAAATAGTGCTGCAGTGACTTCAATTAAATTAAAAAGTGAAAGAAAAACATAATAGAAGAACCAACATTTTTTAATAACAGAGCAAATACAACTAACCAATCAGTGTTTATGCTTCAGACACGTCTGCTCTTGTGACATGCCTACTTTGAGTCTGCAGAGAACTCCTTCTCAACAGAGCCAGTTTTGTTCATCAGCTGTGTGGCTGTCCTGCCCAAAACGCAAATTACCTGTCAGCTCATTTTTTTTGTCAGTTCTTTCTCTGAAAACAGCCTGAATTCACACACAAAGTTTACTATTTTAAAACCTTTGAAACTGCTGTTTAAAACATGGGGTGAATTCTTCATAACTTCATCAATTCAAAAAACTTTATGGGGCAATTCTCGTCAAAATTAATTTGACAAGTGCCCCGCCCCTTTTTGACAGCTATGGTCGGGACTTCCGATCCTTTTTGACAGATGTGGGCAGAGTTACCACCCGCTAGGGTGGGGATGCCAGCCCCCTTTTCCATATATGGGTATGGTCACCGCCCTCTGAGGGCGGGGTTACTGCCCTCCAAGGGTAGGGTTACTCACCCCTAAGGAAATGACGTGATAGGATGTCTGGACAGGAAATTGCATTAGGATGTTGCAACCGGAAACACATGAATAGATATCAGGAAATAGAAGGGGGAAGGAATGTGTTTAGGGGTATTTCTCCTTATATGGTAAGCAGGGTTTCTCTTTTTTATAAAATAATTTTAAAAATAGTGTTTCTACTACTTTTATAAGCTGCCATTTTGTTGTGTTTGAACGAAAAAAGAGAGCACTTTTTTAAATAAATAAAATTTGTTTAGTTGGAAAGCATTCATAAAATAGTAGTATAGTATTTTAGTGTTTTTACTGATTAAGTTACTTGTAAATTAACAAGTTTTGTTGTGTTTAAACAAAAACAGAGCACTCTTTAAATGAATGAAATGAGTTTTAGAGAACATTMCAGAGAGGATAAGGAAATTTTGGTTCTGACCTTCCTTGAGATGTCTCTCCGAAAAGTTTTAGCTATAGTGAAGAGACTAGTCATGGAAAGTACAGCCCCCTAACAGTCSCCTCCTGCTGTGACGTCACTCGGAGACCACCCCTTCTGAGATGTTTTAACTCTAACTCAATTCAATGCATTTTTATTTTATAAATGCTGTTTTCAAATGGCTTCAAATAKGTTTTGTTGTATTTAAAGTTTATTCAACAAGACCTGTCCTTTTTAAATGACTGAAATAAGTTTTGTTGGAAAGCATTCATAAAATAGTGATTCTAGTTTTTCTGCTGATTAAACTCAGTGTGGCTGAGCAACATAACTAAACCTTTCCTCTTACCTCACTCTTGATGAGCTCTATCTCTGGTTTCAGAACTTCAGGTTCCTTCTTCCAACCATTGCTCCCAGTTTCTCTCTGCTCCGGGGAAGATTCAGGTGCTCCCATTTGGCTCAGAAAATAGTGCTGCAGTGATTTAACAAAGTAAAACGTCAGCACAGATGAAAAATCAACATAATCTTTACACTCTGATGTACTAATACCTGTGGCACCGGAGGCACTACTCTAAATTCAGGCTGCTGATCCACCTCCTCTTCCTCTGGATGATCTTCATTGGGAATCACCACCACCGGCCTTTTATACTCGGCTAAGGCAGCTGCTCGGAGGAAGTTTGGAGGACCCTTTACAGGGATAATGAACAAAAGAACATACTGTTCCAATGAAAGGCTTAGCACAATGCATATCTCCTGCTGCCTTTATTGCAAGAGCTGAACTTTAAATAGAATGGCTTAAGGGCTCGACACACGGGAGGCGACGTCGCTCGCTCTCCATTCATTTCCTATGGAGCCTGTGCGGTGAGGCGACGATCTCTTGCCCTCCTCCAGCTAAGCGACCGGCGAAAATAGTGCATGTGAAATTTTGCACTCGTACACGTAGACGTGCACACGCGAGCTTGCGACGCGACATATGAAAGTTGAAAAATGTTCAACTTTTGTCGCTGTCGCTTAGCGTACAACCAATCAGCGAGGGTTTCATTGACTGACCAATGAGAGGAGAGTATGCTACACACTGCAGTTAGCTAACACTTTCACCAAGTGATTACTAAAAAGCTTAGTGGGAATTTATTGGCACCAGGGTGAAGTTTATGGTAAGTTTTTCCTCATAAAACTGTATCTTCATGTGTGTTTGTTTTTCAATATCATTAGCATCGCAAGATTTGTTTAGTTTACACGTCCGTAATGCACACCCGCCTTCAGAGTCAAGAACCAATCAAATTTCGTGAAGACAAGCGACATGAGAGCGCGATTCGCAACGCTGCGATCGCTATCGTGTCCCGTGTGTCGGGTTTCACCCTGGCTGCGATGACAGCCGCTAATCYCTGTAGTTTGTCGCTGCTCGTGTGTCGAGCCCTTTATACTGTAGCCATTTTGTGATTAACTGCCATAAATGGTTTGAACTTATATGGTGCTTTATCAAGTCCCTACGGACTCCAAAGTGCTTTACACTTCATTCATGCACACACCGACGGTAAGCTACATTGTAGCCACAACTGCCCTGGGGTGATTTACAGAGGCGGGCAATATACTGTATTTAGTTATTAATGGGGGGAGCTACTGAAACTGCCACTTACATCTGGGAGATCTGGGATCTGGATCATTGTTTTAAAGAATTCAATTTCCCTGGCTCGGTTGAAAAACTGTGAGAGGCTGCAAAAGGAGAGAAAAAAGACATCTGAAAACAAAACCTCTTTGCTCAAATGTATTATGCATTGCTCTGTTAAATACGATGAATACATTTTAACAGCATTGTTCCTACCTTGTGAAAAGTTCACGAAATCGCTCTCGATGTCCAAGAAGAACATCAGGAGCGATACCTGAGGAGAAGGGAGGTGAATGTGTTTGAAAGCTGGATATGACACAGGTATGTTCTGTGTTTATTTATTTATTTTTGTATGAAGCACGTTTGTTATTTACGGCTATGAAGTTTGAACATAAGTCGGACAGAGAAGTGGTAGAGGAAGCTGCAGTCCTGTATGAGGGGGATGAGAGGAGTCAGTCTGCACTGTCCAGCAGGAGTTGTAGATTTGGCTCCATTGGCATCCATCTGACGGAGAGCTTTAAACAAGCAACACATAAAATTCAGTTCTTTTAGTTAAACATAGACATGTTTGATATCTACAGAAACATTAGAATCTTGGCTACAAGCTGGTGAAAACCATTTCTATGCACACTCAGGACAGTTAAAACTACAAGCAGTTGAAAATAAAACTCTGAAAGTGAAAATAAAATAGCTTTAAAAATTTGGCGAGTTAGAAATACCAAAATATTTGTGTCAAATCGGAGGCATAATGTGTTCTTTTTGTTTTGATATTGTTTAATTATCACTACTTTTATAGGGTTCTGTATGTTGTATTTATAATTAAATGCAGCAAAATAAACCAACTCCAACTGGCAAAGACTTGACCATAAATCCTGCTTATTTTATGTGACTATGCTGTGCCCGAGCTTGTTAAATGGGCACAGTGATTTCTTTTTATTCCAGGAAGAAATAGAAGCCACAGATTTTGTTTTCAGTCTGCGCTTTAATAAAATATCCACCTTATTCTTGTGATAACTTACATTTCTGTTTACTAAAAGGCAATATTAGTTATTAAATGCAATTTTATTTGTATGAGGGATTATTTTTCATTAACCTTCAGCACACTAATAGCACACATAATTTTTCTGGCAAAATTAAATATTTCACTGACCTTGTGGACCTGAAAACCTGTCCTAATTTTAGTTTAATATAGCAGAAGACATGATTTTACCTGTCTCGGCCATCTTCAGTCCAGCATCCAAGTAATCCAGCAGCTCCTGAGTCATATCTAACCTACAATCCATGGAACAAAGTCATTAGGTTTCCTCCCACATTTAAAGGAAAAGGTCTTTTCTAACACAAGTTAACTGATTTTAAGTTACTGTCCTAATACTTAATGGCTAGACCATATTTGTAATCTAAAATCCAAGTACTAAATCTTTCAAAAAATTATTTAACATTTGTTCTGGGTTATTAACAGATAAACCTGGTATTCAACAGTACATTTATTTTGTCCTATCATTTTAGTAAAGCTTTAATCCTGATTTACTTTAAGTTAGCCATCTTAAYGTTTTCACTCCACTTCATCTACAGTAATCTAAAATATAAAACTATATTTAGATCTTACAATATTTGATTATACTCTTATTAGCATAAATTACTGAAACTATCATGTTCATAATTCATCCCTCGCTTTGTAAATAGTTTATATATATATTCCCTTTTGTAATAAAACCACATGAACTATAAGTACTGTATCTTAATTCTTGTGTGTGTGTTTCAGAAAGTCAAACTGTGTTGTGAACCTAAATTCCAATCTATAAATCTGAGCTAAGGCTAAATAAGCTAGAGCCATCAGTAAACGAAACACAACGCAGAGTACAACATATTATTGCTCTTATTAATGCATTGAAGGTGTATCCCCTACAATTATTTTGTCATTGTACAAAGGAACATGAACAGTGGTCCTTAACACTTCTGAATACCYGGGGGACAAAACACATTGTTGAGCAACAGAACCACATGAGACCTGGAAGTGGGACTGAGCAGCACCAACAAAAGGCCACAAACTACCCACAAAACTAAAGCAGTTAATCCTTTTACAACAGATTACATCTCAGGAAAGTCACTCCGTGTTTTAATGTAGCACCTCTTGTTAGAAACACCACATCGTATAGAGAACTCCATGGGATTTGCTAACAAGGTTCTACATTCAAAGCTGGCTCCAGAAAGAAACTCGTTTCATTTGATGTCACTTCACTTTTCACTTGCATGCTAAACTTCACATCCTGGTGCATTTCAAACCTAACAGGACTCATAGACAAAAGCAGATCCATCCTAAAGAAACAACCCAAACAGAAGCTGAGCAGTGTGGTGTCTGCAGTTTGGTGCGGTGAGGAACGTTTTGACCTCTGTATTGGAGAAACTAAACCGACTCTCTACAAAAACATGGTTAAACACAGGAGAGTAGCTCTTTAGGACTAGGCTCAGCTGTCCACCATAAAGGACACTGTTGAGGACCAAAGGTTCAAATTTTGGACAGAGATTTGAGAAGGGAGTGAATGAATCCATCAAACAAGAAAAAACTAATTTAAAAAAGAGGTGGAGGTCTCATTTTCAACTTTTTAAAATGTACAACAGAGCATTCAGCCTGACACCCAGCCACTTTCATTCTAATTAACACCTTCATGCATGTGACCAAGCATCTCTCTGTGAACCAGGCTAACAAAGACCCTAATGACTCTCAGGAGAGAGAGGAGAGAGATTAATCTGCATGTTGTCATAGTTTGGTTTTTGGTTTCTGTTTTGGTTTTGTTCATGTGGGGTTTCTGTTTGAGTTTCCTTCTGTCTCAGGTGTGTTCAGTGTTGCCTTCGTCTCCCCAGGTGTTTCCTGTTCCCTCGTCAATTGTCTGTGTATTTAAGCTCTGTCCCGTCTCTGTGTTATTGTCAGACCATTGTGCTGCAAAGCTTGTCTCATTTTTCATGTTCCTTGTCCTTGTAGTTTTTGCCACATGGCTCAGTGAGTTTTTCAGCTGCCTTGTCAGCATTTTGATTTAATAAATACTTTGTTTTTTGCTCACCTGAACTCTGCCTGTACCCTGGGTCATTTCCATGTCAAAACATGACGCATGTGAATCTATCTTACATACAATAACAGGGTATCTCACACAGTTTAAAGCTTGGAACTCCACACTCTCCAGTTTTGAACTGAGGAAGCAAAACATTTTCAACAACAGAACAGAAGTCCTGCTGTTTTGTTTTTTCAAATCTCTGATTTTTCCATGTCCTGGATAACTGAGAATATACACCAGCATACTCTTTGAGAAATTAATAAATCTGATAATGCTTTGTGAGACATATTTTTCCACATGGACACTCATTGGGCCTCATGCAAGAACATGTTCATATTCTTATCCTAAATTTCTCTTACTTTTGTTCG